AGAGATCTATGTGCTGTAATATGCATCGTCCTAGACCTAAGTGGTTGGCCTCGTGGTCAAGTCGCTCCATTTGTGGTTTATCTTGGAACATTGGGCTTATAGAGCCTACCATATTTGTGGTTTACTTTAGAACATCAGGTTTTTAAGATGTTCAATGAGTCTTGACTCCTGAGGATTAGTTTATCTTAAAACATTGAGCTCGTATGGTGTTCAATGAGTCATAGAGATTAGTTGAAATACAGATAAGCTAGCTTGGACGATCCAATCTTCAAAATATATATATTGTTATGCCTGAAAAGGTAGGGCTGACGTGGAGTCTTGTTAGTAAAGGATGGTCAGAGCTCAGAGAGGTTCTGTGCCGTCCAAGTGCGGCCACGTCGTAGCGCAAGTGGTATGACTCCTGTCAGTATAGCAGATGCGTGCCATGCCAGTTAGCGGCCGGGGATCGTCCACGTGTCCAATCCCTGCATAAGTCGAGGAAATCACTTGGGCAAGTGAGCAATGGGACGCAGAGAAGGATTTGCACGGTACCTACCCACTTGCAGATTTAGTAATCATTACCTTAGTTTATCCCACTATAAATAGAGGTATTCGCTCTCATTTGCAGGGATTAGCTAATTTTACTCCAGAATAGCTTACTTACTTACTCTCTCTCTCTTGTATTCTTTAAGCTGTAACTTAGCTCGTTGAACGCGACCTGATCTTACTTTCATTAATACAATATCAGTGGATGTAGAATTCACTTTTGGGCATCTGAATCACTTTAAACATTACCTTTCACCCGTTATTAAATTCAATACTCTTATATCACGTGTGACTTCTAATTCTCTTTAACATTTCTCACGTGCGAATAGTTGGTGTCAAAATCAAGCATCAACATATGTAGTGAGCCACTGGTTCATGAAATACTTGAGAGCTTTGCATTTGTTGTTTGTTTTCTGGGTTGATGGAATATTTATTTTTGTATTAATTATATATATTTAAAACTATGGGCTCTTGGAGACATTGAAATACAAATTAATAAAACAATGTTCTCTCTAGTGCTTACCTGAAGAGTGGATATGAGATGGGCCTCTCTAGAAAGGCTTAATTAAGACATGTTTTTTCTAGTAAGTTTGATATGCAAATTTGTTGGTATTAACATATATACAATTGCAGCAAGTGACAGAAAATGTAATTTTGAATTATTTTAGGAATTAAAGATAAGTGGTTAAGATAAGATGGCAATTATAGGAGGAATTACATTAATAGCGTTATTTTGAGGCCTGAGTTGAAAATTAACACTTTTTAGAAAGTCTCTCACAATATAGCACAATTCTATTTATATAGACGAAAATGCCCCTTTCGACAAATTGTTAAACCCAAACTCATTTTCCTTACCTTGAAATTCCAAGTCAATATTTGTTTTTGTGATCTTAAGGAGCTATTTTTGAACGGGTTTGTTGATATATTGGGTTATTATTAAACCTTAAACCAAAACTCATTCTTCAACCCTTAAAACCCATATGACTCATTCTCCATATTACAATCATTACTAAATTGAATATGTATGTAGATGAGTGGTTAATGTTGGTTGTTTGGATTAATTTTTAGATGGGGATGTTGAAAATTAAAGTATCTTGATATTTATGATGAAACTTGGAACTGCATGTCGGCCAAATTCGGATACTTTTCGTAGCCCAAGGTTGAAGACAACAAAAAGTGGTCGAAACCGGCTGATAATGGGTATCAAACACTTTTTATACCTATGGGGGTGTCTGTAATTTTCACAAAGGATAATTTAATATTGTTCGAATGAGTTACCGAACAATAGAGGGTTATTTTAATTTTACCTAACAAATAGGGATATTTGTAATTTTACTTGGCTGATAACCCCATTCGAAAAATTTCAAAATTATCTTCTATGAAAATTACAGATACTCTAATAGGTATGAAAAATTTATGTACCCTTTATCGGCTGATTTTGGCCATTTTTCATCATTTTCAACCTCGGTTCTGTCCAAATGGCCAAATTCGGCTGAATACCTAAGTGTCAGCCAAAAATTGACTTCATCTTCTCCAAATGACTTGCATTTTTTGGTCGAATCTAGCCAAAACCTCTTGATGCGGCCAAAAAAATGACTTCATCTTCTCTAAATGACTTGCGTTTTTTGGCTGAATCTAGTCAAAACCCATTTATTGGCCAATTATCCGGGCATTTTTACAACTTACTCAGCAATGCTTCAACCATTTCTCCCAATCTTAACCCTAAAATCCCACCAAAAACCCTAAATCACAATCTTAGGATTGAAGAAGATGGGTGAATAGTGTAAGTTTTTCATTATATATGGAGGTAATTTCGTCCAAAAATATTGTGTGAATAGGGATTATGCTATCTCTTGAGACACTTTTCAAATCAAGGCTTCAAATAATGTCATTTAATATAATTTCCCTAATTATAGACATGTATTCCCAATGAGCTTTAATAACTTGGATATTGGCGATTAACAAATCTTCAAATATTATATGAATAATGCAATCTCACTTGTATATACTATATATAAATCGAATAGACCAATTTTGTCCATGAGAAAACTTATTTGATAATTAATGTATAAAAGATGCAGAGAGTTACAATGTTAGGACAACTTATTGAAAGAGATAAAAAATGAAACCAATAAATTACCTAAAATTCAAAGAGCTAAATAGAAGGGTCTAGCATTAAATGTGATTATCAATTCATCAAGCAACAATATTCATCTGTGGGAATGCATATATGCAGTTCCCAGAAATATGAACTACGAGCAAGCTTTTATATATATTGAACTGGGAAACATGTTGACACGAGGCTGTAGTAGAGCACTTTTCAATCACGAAAGAATTACATTTTGGCCCTAAAAGAGAAATTAATAACAATCAGTTCACATCTAAGTTAATTGCTACTAATAACATGCTTTCCAGTTTGATAATATGGTTGGGAGTCAAATGAGAACAAGAATGAAATGCTTTAACCACCACTGGGTGGTCGAGTAGTCAACTAGGACTCTTGGATGTATTACTCAAGAAGTTTTAAATTCGATTCACTTATATTGCTAATAGAGGTGGTCATTAGAGGATCCTGGAGGTTTAGTTGAGGTGTGTGTAAGTTGGCCCAGGGCTAGGAAGGAACACGACACAAACACTCCTTTTCTAATTGAAGTTGAAATTATATACAACTATGGCACAAAAATACGAATACATAATCACAGTCTAAAGTGAGCATGCATGTTTTGATTTCAGAAGACAAGGACGTACGTGTAGAGAACCATATATATATTTATATATATATATATAGTCAACAATAACGAAGTTACCATTGCCACGTGTCATGGGTTGAGAGTTTTACACCGAAAAGGCTAACATATTAGGTGTAGGGACTCCCCCCATTTATAAGTCTAAGACCTCTCCAATACGCTTCCGATGTGGGATTCGTTATATTCTCCCCTAGCCAATCTTGTGATGCCCTCTTCACAGGTGAGGCCCCCTGCCTACCCGTCCACCTCACTTTCATGTGGACCCACAATCACACGTGGACGCTCGCTTGGCGGGATATCAAAAGACGGATCGGGTCTACTTTGATACCACTTGTCACGAGCTAAGAGTTTCACACCCAAAATGCTAACCTAGTAGGTGGAGGGACTCCCCCCATGTATAAGCCCAAGACCTCCCCAATATGCTTCCGATGTGGGATTCGTTACACACGGCACCCTTCACCATGCACTGCCACCATCAAAAGAATACATATATTCTTATTTGTAGCATTCTCTGCTCGTAAAATTACCAAGTTTTACATATGATCTTCTCCATTATCATCACAACTCCCTTTCATGGCCTCACAATTAATGGAACCTCATCACATCACCAACATGATACATCACAATATGCCACACCGCTATAGCAGCATTCAGTTGCTTCATTCAAATTCAGGAAAGAGACGACTATAACAAACAGTTACCTATCAACAAATCAACCCAATTCTATATGCATGTCACTAATTTTGGCATTGCCACTCGTTTCTAAATTCCCTTAAATGACAATTCCTCTTTACAGTGTAATAGCGACTGATTCAATAAAAAATACAATGAAAACCTGAAACGTTACTATGAATTGATGTGATACATCACGTTCATTTTTTCATACATGATTAACCGATCAGTTTGCAAAAACATTACCCTAATACTGGGTACACCAGATTATAACATGGAGTTAACGACTTTTTCCCACCCAAATAATGGCTTAACGACATTTTTTCACGCAAAAACTCTTACAATATAATTTTGTTATCCAAATTTATATTTTAGCGATGAACAAATAGTAAACTTGGTATAAATTGTTGGGGATTCTGAAGATGGGAGGCTGATGAGTCTTTTGGTGGTAGAATGTTGGATTTTGGTGGTTGGGATTAATTAGAATTTGACTTGGGAGGGGCAATTGCATAAACCCTAATTATTCAATTGCCCGCGATTGGCGGGATCGGCAGGAGTAGTGTTTGATGGATTTTGGTAAGTGATGATCGAAGAAGATAATGATGATGATGTGGAGTCGCAACGATGTCGGAATCAGAAACAGAATATAAATTTGGATATTAAACTGGTATTATAAAACCCTATAGCCTGTAGGTAGGAAAATGTTATTAAGCCATTATTTGGGTGGGAAACAGTCGTTTACTCTTATAATATGGGCTGTAAATTTCGTTTCATCTTCTACCGCTACAAATTCCCCCACCACATCTCTTATTAAACATAGCCGTTGATTATGACAAACCCTTCCGTTACATAAATTGTAACATATTGCAATGAATTTTTTTGGCTGTTTCCAGGCATTTGTCACCTTTAATGACCAATGAATGGATTAATCTGTCTAGCTATAGTATGTAACAAAGCCATCATGCTCTGGTGAAAGCATTGTCTATAAATATGAACCTGCCTCTTAATATCTTCTGTCACATAACAACTAAATTTTTCCTTCACACTACAGAAACAATGGCTAAAGCAACAATTTCCCTTCCTATTCACCCACTTGTTTTTCTGTTTTTGTTCTTCAATTCAGGTCTTTTGTTTCTATTATGGTTTTTTCATGTTGTTCAATCTTAAAAGTGGATTATTATCATATATAACATATGGCTGATGATTTTCTTGATTGTGTAAAATTTGTGCAACAGGAATTCTGAAGCTTGCCAATGCACAGGTAAATTCAAGACTAATTACGTTTTCTATATTCTGCAACATGAAAAACTAGATAAAAGAAGTTGATCTTAATTTTGCTGCTGTTAATTCCAGGGTACAACCTGGTGCGTAGCAAAGCCATCATCAAGCGATGCTGAATTGGCTGCAAACATTGAATATGCTTGTAGCAACATCAATGGTGATGGGTGCAATATCATAAAAAAAGGCGGCCCTTGCTACTTACCCAATACTCTCATTAACCATGCATCAGTGGCCATGAATCTCTACTACCAATTCAATGGCAGAAACGCCTGGAACTGTGATTACAAGGGTTCTGCTCTCACCACTACGACCAATCCAAGTAAGACCTTTAATTTCCTCTATTTACTTTTAGTCATCAACTGTTATCGCAACATTTGGATTTTAAATTAGTTCTGCTAATTTTTTTCACTATTTCTGTTAACTATGTGCAGGCTATGGCACTTGCCAGTATGCATAGCGCCTGCAGAGTGTGCAAGATGTTGAAGCGGCTTTCTGGATTTGTTCTTGTTCGGCAAGTCTTGCACTCTTTCCATGATAAATGTCGGGCTTTGTGGTCTGTGGTAATTTACTGTAAATAATAAATGTGGAAGAGTTCTTTGAATTTCTCTCTTTTTTTTATTGTGATATCTTTTGATGGAAAAAAGTCATTCATTTCTACTTAATAATTCATGAACATGTGACACTAAAACTGATTCCAGACCGTATTAAATAAATACACAATTGAACCAAAGTTTCTTCTGATATTGGAAGATGCTGCCATGTAGGACAAGTAATGGAGACCATCAACAAAATCAACAAATACTAAAGAAAACTACCTTCAAGCGATCGAGTGGTTAGATCGAAACTTTTAGATATATTACTTAAAAGGTCTTGAGTTTGACTTCTTCATTGGTTATTAATAGAGGTAGCCACTAGAGCTTTTATCTGGCTAGTAGTTTCAGGGTTCCAGGAGAATAATTGAGATGCGCATAAACTAATACATACACCCTTGATCATAAAAATTAAAAAAAAAAATTGTCCAACCGAAATGCCATGTAAATTATATGTCTGGATAATGTAAAATATATAAGATGTTAGTGGTAGTGTAAGTCTCAGAAGAATTGTGGATTGACCTTAAATATCGACATGGGACCCAAAAAAAGGGGAAAAAAAAAAAAAACAAAATATTGCAAGACCATTTATTTGCACAAGGGATACTAATTACTTGGTGAGAGCTAAATATGGATTGCTTTTATACATGTTTTTTAATAGTATTTTCAACACAAAAGCTCAATGAAAACCACAAAAATTTCCACAAATTCAGTTAAATATTATGTTGCCAGGAATTTTTCTTGGCTGCTTCAACGGGTTTGTCACCGTTTTGGACCATTGAGCCTGCATATAAGTTTCTTCTGTATCATAACAATTATGAATCAACATTGTTCCTTCGCTGTCTTTGGTTTTTCATACCTAGTACATAAAGCAATGGCTAAAGCAACATTTTCTCTTGCTTTTCTCCCACTTCTTGTTATGTTTTTGTTCTTCAATTCAGGTATTTTCTGCATTTTGTATATCAGCAATTAATATAATCTTGTTTGGGAGCAGTTGGCCGATGATGATTTTCTTGTGTAAACATTTTGTGCATTAGGAATTCAGAAGCAGGCAAATGCAGCAGATGCGGTAATTTCAAGAGCAATATAGTTTCTATATTCTACATGAAAATTTATAAAGACTAAAAGTTTCCTGAAAACATGTGGCGTATTCTTGCAGGTAAAAACCTGGTGCGTGGCAAAACCATCTGCAAATGAAACACAATTAGGCTCAAACCTTGAATTTGCTTGTAGCCAAATGAAAGACGGGTGCAAGGAGATAGAATTTAACGGTCCTTGCTACATGCCTAATACTACCATTAGTCGGGCATCATATGCCATGAATCTCTACTACGCATTAAATGGCAGAAACCCCTGGAACTGTGACTTTTCAGGCACTGGTCTGGTCACTACAACCGATCCAGGTAAAGTCATTTTCTTTGATTTTCATCATAAACACTGCTAGATTTGATTTTCATGAAATGGTTTCTGATGGTAATTAATACTGCTAACGATTCTTACTACTACTTGTGTTTATCTATGTGCAGGCTATGGCCCTTGCGTTTATGCTTAGGCTGCGACAGAGACCTGACACCGTTTAGATGATTTTCATTTTTCCATAAATATATTTTTTAATTTCACTGTACAGTATCAGAGTCTCTGTTTATATTTTTTCTGTAATAAGCATAGAAGAGTTTTTTGAACATGTAATTCCATTTATATGATATCTTATAATGAAAATAGTGATCAATTATGCTCTTCTCTTTATCCAAGCTTTTGTTTTCAATTTGCATAATAATTCTCCGCCATGTGATGTAACAATTACAAAAGTTATTCCTCATGGTGCTGAAAAATTGTCATATTCATGTTGAGGGAACTTGAAAGTTTAAAACTCGCCTCTCAATACACCTCAGAGAAAATTTTGGGTTGACCCTAAATACTGATTAAAAAAAAAAAAAATTATGGCCTGGATTATTAGTTGGATCATTCAGTGGTAACGCATTCACTTGTCCTCTTTTCTTTTCCCCTGATTTTCAGATTCCAGAAGAGACAAATGGTTGACAAAAGATCTGATTCATACATTCAAAGTAAGAGTAAATAATTTTCCCACCCAAGGTTTGCCTATGACATTTCCCACCTGAAAAGTTTCCAAAAACCACTTTCCCACCCAAAGTAAATATTCCGTTACTATCCAAAGTCGATTTCGATGGCAAAAATTCTCTCGGTCACCATCATTTGAACTTCTAGTCTTATTTTTACAAAACCCCTCTCACTATGACACCTAATTTTTTGCTGATTGTCGATTACCGCAAAGCTAAGGTTTTATGTTCTTAGCTGATTTTCGGCTAATTCCAATAGTAAATATTCAATCTGTCACCCACATTTGATCCATTGGCATCCACTCTACAAAACCCCTCTTATCCTAGCTCTTGGTAACTTGTCAAACGCTAGCTGAAAAAGTAAAGTGTATTTTGGGTATTGACGGAATATAAACTTTGGGTGGGAAAGTAGAATTTTGAAACTTTTTGGGTAGGAAAGTAATATTTACGACAAACCTTGGGAGAAAAAGTTACAGCAAAATTTGAAGAGTCAGTTGAGCAGCTTTAATTGCTCTTTGAATAACTTGGGCTCTGGAGACTGGAATTACATAGCCAGTTTGCATTTTGAATTAGTTAGTTATATTTTTAGTATCAAAACAATTTTCAGGGCCAATCAGTCAGAAGTAAAAGGCTTGAAATAAATATCCTGCTATATATATGGGGCAGTCCAGATTTCTATGTCTGAGTTGTATATTATTGGTTTTTGTTATGAAGTTCAATGTACACACAAGATAACAAAGAAGAATATGTGTACACGTCCATATCTCCAAGTATGACGAAAACTACATATTAATTTGTTGCCTTAAAAGAAAAGACTGTAATTTATTGTTTGCATTAATACTATTTGGCAGAAAATTCATTAATCTCACATGTAACTATGTAAGTCTTCTTTTAAGGACCTGAAATATATAATGTCCTGGAGCAGGTCCACTCCTTGTTTCACAACAGTTTCTTCTCCTTCACTCTCCTGTAAAACCCTCAATTTCTCTTCTTGGATTACACAGCAGATTATCGTCACAGCTTCGTAGTAGCATCCAATGGCTAATTATGCCCCATCTGCATCTTTTCCTCTTCTATCAATCTTGCTTTTAACCTTCTATTCTGGTACATATTTCTCAAATGGCTGTATTTCCTACTAATTTCTGTGTGTTTTATTTTTTAATGCATGTTACTCATTTCTTCTGATACATGACCTCATATTTTGCAGAAAAAATTTCAATTTTAGCGGAAGTGCAGGTAGTAGAAATCCCTGACATTGAAATTATATTACAGTAATTCACATGCTTTAAAATCTAATCTATGTAGTAATGTACCGACTCTGATAAGACGCTATAATGGTACTTGTAGAGGACTTGGTGCGTGGCGAAGCCTGCAGCCAATAATCGAGTGCTGCGGGGTGATATAGATTTTAGCTGTAGCCACGCAGATTGCAGCCCTATACAGCAAGGCGGTTCATGCTTCGACCCAAATACACTCATGCACCATACCTCTTTTGCCATGAATGCTTTCTATCAGGCATCCGGCAGACAGAAATTTGATTGTGACTTCAAAAGCTCCGCCCTCATTGCTTTGACTGATCCAAGTAATTAAGCCATTCCAAACCTCTAATTTATAATCCCATGTCGAATGTGATAATAAAAACCACAAAATTTTGTTTCCTCTCGTTTTGCAGGTTCTTCTAGTTGCACTTACCCTGGTATGTGTTACTTAAAGCAGCTGGGAAGAGTCATATTTGTGTCTAATAGTTGATTATGGTCGCAATTAATATAAGATTTTGATCCATGATTGCGTAATTCATTGCAGGGGCTGAAGCAGATGTGGACACATCGGTAAATTGGAAATCCTTTGATTAATAACCATTTACTAATGAAAATATATCATTATTTCATTCATTAGATTGACTTAAGATCTTGCAGAATACTTGGTGTGTGGCAAAACCTACAGCAAACGACAATATATTGCAATCCAACATTGATTTTGCTTGCCAAAAGACGAACTGTGACCCAATTAAAGAAGGTGGTCTCTGCTTCAACCCTAATACCCTCATGCACCATGCCTCGTATGCTATGAATAGTTACTACCAACTTTCTGGCAGGGATGCTGCAAGCTGTGACTTCAACAATTCTGCCATGATTGTTACCAGCAATCCAGGTAACACCAGTACTTTCTATCTTCATTTTCAAATGGAAAATCTTAATATAACTAATGAAATCTGTTTGTGTGCCTTTGTGCAGGTTATGGTACTGGTTGCTATTATGCTTCTGCATTACCACTACAAATATAGTCGCGTACTGGAGAGGCCATAGATGGATTGAAGTGTCGAAGATAATAACCTTAATTTTGGGATGTACCTCATTTTCAAAACATCAATTATAAATTTCCGTTGTTGGTGATTTGGAATTTAATTTCCTCTGAATTGGGATTAATATTGTTAACAACATATACAAACCATCTCATGAGAAACCGAAATAAAACTGCTCACTGATACACTTGTTCACTTTGCCGGATAATCAAGAAACCAATACAAAAAATTCTACTTCCACACTTGTCACTAAGTAAAAAATCTAAAGTAAACGATGTCTCATTCAATTCAGAAAACTAGAAGATAGAAAGATTGTTTTAATACAAACAAGATCATGCATACAAGCTTAGCAAAGAAAATATGGGCCAATTTATGTCAGAATTGTGAGAGGAGCTCCGATACCACATCAGAATTGAAAGGGTAAGAAAAACAATTGAAGAACGCTGAAGTATGTCCAAAAAATATATTTGAGAGGACAAAAGAGATAACTAAAATGGTCGGAGTATGCTTGAAAGATATCTGAGAGGAATTCAATTTAATTGTATTGAATTGATGTGAATACACATCCTATTATAATAATGATGCAGTCTCTACAATAAAGGAAAGAGAATAATATCTAAAATGCAATAGAAATTAGAATAACGTCATATATTCTCATTCCAAATTCGGATGTCAGCAATTTACAAATTTAAAACCTGCTTCCATGTGTGGCTCTGTGAACATGAAATTCAAGCGTTACCTAACTCCTCCTCAAGGAAATGAGATTGCCATGAATATTTAGGCCACCTTCGCACACTTCACGCTCTCTCTCTCTCTCTATATATATAACTAATTCTAACTTCGTCCTTCAAGTTTATTGATTCACTTTCATCGTCAACTTCACTGCTTCACACAACCAAAATGGCCAGCCTTACTCTTTCCTTTCACATTCTTTCCCTTTTCCTCTGTTTCTTCTTCAGTTCAGGTAAATTTCACTTCTGGGGCATCTAATGAGTTCCAGGTTTTTGTGTTGGCTTATAACTTAAATGATTTTCTTTGGTACATTTGTGCAGGAGGATTGTTGAAGATGGTTACTGCCCAAGTAATATTTTTTGAATAATTTTCACAGACAAATTATACTTGAATATCCTGACTGAATTTTACCCATTTTTATTAAATTTTTTTATGGTGTTGCAGAGAACTTGGTGTGTTGCAAATCCGACGGCCAACATCTCCACACTAATTGGAAATCTAGACTATGCTTGCAATCGTATAGATTGTGATTTGATACAACAGGGTGGTTCCTGCTTCTATCCAGACACTTACATACACCATGCCTCCTTTGCCATGAATATGTATTACCAAGCTATGGGCAGACACTCGTGGGATTGTAATTTCAAAGATTCCGGACTCATTTCGGTGACTGATCCAAGTAAGGCACTTAAATTGTATTTCCAAGCATAAAGTTTCTGTAAAATTAACTCCCTGTCCTGTGCCATCCAGCAGGTTATGAGAGCTGCACTTTTCAGAGTGGTGCGTATCAGTAACAAGATATATATTTTCAGTTTCATTCTATATGTTTTTCAGAATCATGATTTCAGTTTCACCATAACACTTATGCAGGAGGACATCAATCAGATAACGGGCCAACAATGGCGCAGAATTCCGATGCAAGTGTTTGATATTTTCTACAACTTCATTAATACTGATTGCAACAAATTTAATCAACAATATTCTGAAATTAAGTGCTTTGAATCAAATGTTCCAGGCAACATGGTGTGTGGCAAAACCTGGAACAAATAACGATATGCTGTTGCTAAACATCAATTACGCTTGCAATCATGTCGACTGCACCCCTACACATGTGGGCGGCGCCTGCTACAACCCAGCAACTCTCTTAAACCATGCCTCCTTTGCCATGAATCTTTACTTTCAGAGCAATGGCAGAAATCCTTCCAGTTGTGACTTCAGGAAGACTGGCCTCATTGTTACAAATGACCCCAGTAAGCCAAATCCATTTTATTGTTATATATATAACGCCATTTTCATTTGCAGGCGTCTACACCTAAGAATTTCTCTCGTAATCTTTTTCTATGTATTGTTCAACAGGTTATGGTACCTGCACTTACGATTATAGTGGCCATCGTGGCTAAAAGTTAAAGAGGGAATAATGGATGGACCACTCATTTGATGTTTCAACTACAAAGAATAGTGTTGTCCTTTTCATTACTAGATTTTAAATTCCATGAAATAATATTAAATCGGATTATATTTGTAATGTTTAATTAGATAGTGCAAAGGCATCATTGTTTGTTATTATTCTCTAATATGTTTAAAGTGAAATCTCAACAGTTTGATCGGGTGGTCAAGAAAGTTTATTTTCTTTATTGAGTTTTTAGATTCGAATCTTGAGATCGCCTACCACATTGTGATTTATTCTGGTTTTCTGGACTTGTTAGATATTTAATGGAACTTGAGCGTGTTCGCAAAAATAAAATATGTTAAACGTGGTGGACAGAGGGAATAAAGTTAAACCACTAATATGGGTGAGATTAAGTGAATTTATAAACGCCACCAAACATTTGGTAACTTTTGTCAATATAGATTTTGACTACTCATATTTATTATGATTTTAAAAATTAAAAGATAATTTAATCATCAAAATCAATTAATCAATGTGATTAATTCTTAATCCTTTTCATACCTGTGGATTCAAATCTACCTAGAAGATGTTACCTTCATGATTATAGTTGATTTAAGCACCATGATTACCCAGATGAACCTAATTAATAATGAATTTTGGTAAACAAATTTAAATTTTTTATTATTGATTAACCCTTTTTTTTTTTTTAAAAAAATTTAACTAATGCCAAAATTAGCTTCACATTATACATGGGTTCTTTATTTTGTTAACATTTTGTTTAAGAAAATAAAATTTTGGCAATATACACTCATTTACTTTCATCAAAATACAAGAATTATATTAAAAAAATTTATAGACATTTTCTTATTAATTATTAATTAGTAATATGTATTGGGTTATCTTAACGTGTATCCCCGTTAAATGGTAAAATATTTAGAATATTATTGTATTGAAAATTATGTTTATTTATAATTTTATATACAAAATATATCAAAATCAGTAAATATATTCTCTTCTAGTAGTGTATACATTAAAATAACCTGTATGTATTGATTCATGAAATTTGATCTTTTAACCACTCTTGGATGATTGGGTGGAACGATAAGGGGTGCGTTTGACTTATTGTTTTTATCCATATTCTCAATCCTATTCTTCAAATATTGTTTGACACGTTATTCCCAAAACATTAGTATATTTTTTTAATTCCTTTTAGACCTCATAAGTTTATTAATTTCATAAAATACCTCCAGAAAAAAGTTTAAAAACTAATAAAAACACCCCCACCCACCAATACTTACCAGATTCCGGCAACCACCGCTGATGGTAGCCGAAATCTGTCACAACAGTCACACGACCACCGAAAATGGTCGGTAATAGCCAGATCTGACCATTACCTACCATTTTTCGGTGCGGAAAAGGTCAGATTTGGCCGTCAACGATGGCCAAAGAAATGGCCATCATTGACTGTAAACGACGGTCAAATCTTAGCCGTCGTTAACAGACAACGACAGCCACATCTTTGGCCGTCATGGCCTTTTCTGGCCGTCGAAGGCCACATCCGGCCTTAGATCAGGCCTTTTTCGGTCAGATCCGTGGTGGATATGGCCGGAAAAGGTCATATCGATCTAATACCCGCCAGATCCGATCAGTATGTGTGGTTATCCAATTTTCCGGCCAGATTCCGACGGTGATGGTCGGAATCTGGCACTGCGAGTGGTAGAGATGTTTTTGTCATTTTACAATATTTTAATATATTGGGGTGTTTATTAAATTAGCAAACCTTAGGGGCTTTTTTATAAATTTTTAAATTTTATCTCGTAATACTCCCCTATCCAACTATCCAATACTATCACCAACATCCTATCCAAAATAATAAACCAAACGCGGCTAAACACTCTTAGGTAAACTATTCAAAAGGTTTTGTATTTAATTCTTTTCGGTAGCTAATTGTTAACTTTAAGGTCTCAAGGATTAGTCAATGTGTGCCTAAACTGGCTCGGATATCGCGATGACCAAAAAAAAAAAAAAAAAAATTGATGTTTTGTATTTTATACAGAAAATTTAAAAATAAATTAACAGTTGAAAATAAAAAAGGGTAGAAATAAGGTTCAAATGGAATCAAGAAAAAAGCAAAATAGGGCACGATGAGAATAAATAATGATTAATTAAAGGTGTGATTAGACTAATAACAATCACAAAGGAAAAAAGGCATTAAACAATATTTGCAATTTCGTCAAACATCGTGAGCCCCACTGTCCACCTTCACGCGNAAAAAAGGGTAGAAATAAGGTTCAAATGGAATCAAGAAAAAAGCAAAATAGGGCACGATGAGAATAAATAATGATTAATTAAAGGTGTGATTAGACTAATAACAATCACAAAGGAAAAAAGGCATTAAACAATATTTGCAATTTCGTCAAACATCGTGAGCCCCACTGTCCACCTTCACGCGTGCTGCATCCAACGGTCCAAATTTCCCGCGTTTGACTCCTCCTTGTCTGAAACTCGCACACATCCCAAGTAAACACAACTCAGCCCAGCCCAATTTTATTTTAATAAAATAAATAAATAAATAATCAAAAATCAAAATTTATATACAGCAACAATAACACTTCTCATTTGCCACAACAACATAACATATCTCTTTCTCTTTAGATCTCTTCGGCGCAAATCTAGGGAACTTATCTCTGGAGTTTACTTGACCTCGCTTCCATCTTCAGTTTTCTTTGGAATCTTCTTTTAAAAAAAACCATCTTGGGTTCGTTTTATTTTTCGTTTTTACTTTTACTTTTCCTTTTTTTTTTATTGTTTTCGAGTTATGAATGCTTATGTTGTTTGATTTTTGTTTTGGCTATGTGGGAATTAAGGTTTTTTTTGTATGTTTATGAGTGTTGTAAAAAGTTTCAATTTTTAGTTCTTTAGCTATCTTTTATTCCGAGATCTGGGATTTTTTTTGTATTCATTGTTTACGTTGTTCTCTCATACTTGTTTCATTGTTACTTTTTGCAGAACTGGTGTTTAAGTTCAATATTATATGGTAATTGGGGGTTGAATGAAAAAGGTCAACATGCCGTGGACTTCATTTTTTGTGAATTACAGCAGGACCTTGGTGGTGTTCTTTCGTGTTATACTGTAATTTTGATTTCTTCTGGTGAGATTTTTGTCATTTCTTCTGTTTAATTTGCTTTTATTTGGACCAAATTATGTTTGTAACTGTAAATGCTTGATAAAAGTATGAACAATTTTAGATTTGAATAGGAAATTAGAAATGCAATAGTCAGTTAATTGGGAAAAAAAATCGTATCTTTTCTCATAGAAATGGAATATTCAATTAATTAGAAAAGTTTTTGATATCTTTTCTCAAGTATCTGTTTGCTTACTAGAGATGAAAAAAATCAGTTTTGATTTTTGTGTTCTGGTGGGATTAATTAAAAGATGTCACTTATACTGGTAGTAAAGTTAACACTTGTGTGGTACCTTGGCCTGATCTGAAAATCTTGTTCTTGCTACCGCACTAAGCCACTAACTGTTCCACGGAAAAGTTTTTGACTCAAAATAATTACATATGCATGTTTGAAAGCTAAATATAAATTATTATTATTTTAATTTTTAATGTTTGTTTCCGGTCCAAAATGAAGTATATGGTATACAATCTTGTTTCTTATTGGATTCTCACTTTCCTTAATGATGTTTTCTCACTTCCCTTAATGATGTTTTGAGGGTTCTTGTGCAATGCAGTTGGTGAAGTTACATTAGTTTGTAAAAGATATTTCTATCAAGCGTGTTTATAACTAAATATTGGTTGGAGGAAGTGAGAATGTATGTTGCGGTAACCATAAAGAGATATCGAGCAGTGAAGGACGTTGGGAAAATTAAAATGAGCGTTGGTGTCATTGCGTATTACCAACTGGTGCAAGTTTGTCAGGTAAGCATGCTTCTGCCTTTTCTTCACTTTCAATGTTATTATAAATGCTCATAGCCTGCATTTGGTATGGCTTTGGAATGGCCAAAAGATTTTTTTGTTTTAGATTATGTGAAAAGATTTGGATATGGTACCAGTTTGATGGTACAGTAACTAGTTTGATTTTTCACTGTCTAGAGATTCTACACGGTGTTATCTTTTATGATTCCTGATTGGTGAATAGTAACTAGTTTAATGTTACGACTTTGTCTTGATAATAATAGTGACTTTCAATTTGTTTTTACAGGCTGAATATTTCCGTCAGTTGCTTAAACCTGTCACGTAGTCTAGTAGTACGAAGTTCTGGGATATTGGGATTTGGGATGGTCTGCCGTCATTTTGTTTATACATAAGAAGGCATTGAGAGAACGAAATAGTTGATTTTCTAAACTGTTGCTTTGGGATAGACGGCTCACTTGTTCTGGCATGGCAATAGTGTGATTACTATTAGTGGTATTGTCGCTTTAGGAACCTTCATCCAATCAATAATTCTAGAGTTTTCAACTAAAAGGTGAAAATCCTTCTTTCCTTATATTTTTTTTTTTCAATTAAATAGACCTTAGATGCAGAGAGACCAGCAATTTTACCCAAGAAAGGCAGTGCCCCCCTTTGGAAATCTTGGGGTTAATGACTACATGCATATTCCTGTTGCGCCTGCCTTTGGTGCAGTTTTACCTCCGGCTGCAAGGCCACCAATACCGTTTGATGGTGTTGAATTGCAGCCCTCTGAGGTTTGTCCTAAGAATTTCGTTATCTTAGATCAAACTCATCACCGAAGTCAAATTATGTTCCATCCTGCTAGTGCACACAAATTTGATGGCCCTAGTTTGAATTTCTGTGCAAATTACATCCAAGACATCTTTGAGAGGAAGGATGTTACTGATTTGAAAAGAGGGATGTCCTCTTCTCTAAAAGAGGATTCAGATGATATTGATGCATTGCTGAGCTTGGAAGAGGAGGAAGAAGAAGATTATGATGAGGAAGAGGTCAGCACAGCAAGAACTGTTGGAAATTACGGATGCAACTCACCTGATTCTGTTTCCAGTTATGCTTCTGAACACCAAAAGAATAAATCATCTTCTTCAAAAGTTAAGTCCTCTGGCAGCACTAGCAACTGTAACATTGAGCGGAAACAACAGAAAATGAAGAAGATGGTGAAAGTATTGAGGGGAATTGTTCCTGGTGGTGATCAGATGAATACTGTTACTGTTCTGGATGAAGCTGTGAAGTACCTGAAGTCTCTGAAGGTCGAAGTACAGAAGCTTGGAGTTGGAAATTTCAAAAACTAGGCTTGATACCATGCCTGGTAACAGTGATTCGACACTTTTTTTTTTATGATTCAAGTTTGCAGTATTCTGGTTATATCGTCTCCATCTCCCCTGGGCCGGTTGGCACAATTTGGATAATAGCATTAAGGAGGCATTCGGAACTTGTTTTATAGTTTTCATGTTAATCGGGTTTATTGTGCTGACAATGATGCAGATGGTTGAACTTTGAAATTCACTTGATGCACTTGTGTTTGTTGGCCAAGACTAAGATTATGCCGAGGAGCATATTGTGTAATATGCATACACTTTATCTAGTCGCCACATAAAATCTGTATGCCATCTTGATATTTCTGGAATAGTATATTTATGTAATAATGATGCACAGTGGACACTCCTTTTGTTGCATTGTGGTTATATATGCTTATTCCTTATCAAGAGGTTAAGTGGTCCTTATCGGGTGATGGATCCCAAATTGCTCAGGATTCTGTCGCTATTGTAAGTCAACTTTTGCATTTCTGTTTATGCTCTAATCTTTGCTTTTGCTATTATGCTACATTTGTTTTGTGTAGTTGGAAAATTTCGGAGACATTATGTCATGGTTATGCGTGCATGGTGCCTTTTTTTTTTTTTTTTTTTTTTTTTTTCCCCCCTTCTCACATATCTGCCAGCTGCCGACCCAATTGCTAGTGCTGTAATGGCGCACCAATGAAAACTTTTTAGCTGCGGCCTCCCCAGTTTTTGTTTGTGCCTTAAAATTGGACCCACCTTGTTATCTCATTATCAATTCTAATAAAGCATTTGGGTGCTGTGGTCATATTCTTTGTTCAACAAACGATTTTGTTGACAGTTTTTCTGAAATTCTTTCCTCTAACAAACACCTTCTGCCATAAGTGAATAACAAATTAAGAATCGAAAAAGATTTGTTTGTTAATTTGATTCGATTTCTTAACAAAAATATGATAATCTATGCATAACATAAACATTGTTCCATCCAATATTATATATTTTAAGATGAGCATAGGATTCTACCGACCTTGGACGTTGGAAGCCCTCGTGTTTCAGACTTTCAGTCGAAGTTGGATGTCTATTTAATGGAGGAACGTGTTAATGGAGCATTAGGATCAGAACCCATGATTTTATTGTTTTCTTGATCATTCAACACCCTGGAATCATAAAACTTAACACAAGTTCAACGCTGAAATCATAAAACTTGAAAATCTTCAGCTTCTTTCTTTTAAGGATTCAAAATTCTTCAACGAAATACTTTGAGAGGCAGTACAAAAGAATGTGCGAACATCTGCTTTAATTAGACTTTATGAAAAATGCATTAATCAGCTTAATGCAATATCATAACGTACAGAAGGAATCGAAAATTTACTGGCAACAACTTGTAAGAAGCGTAACATCATTGAATAATGGCTATGATTATTTTGTCAGATTTCTTTTTGACCACTTGGTAAACAGAATAAAGCAACTAAAATTTTATTCAGCTTTCCCAGTTATTCTGCATTGCCATTGACTGATCATAATATATGCAAGTTCATTAATGTTCATATGCAGGATCAATGAAATCTTTTTTCATGTTTAAAGCGGTGTTTATAGTTAAACCACTTGTTTCAAGGCAGTTCAAGCAATGGCAAGAACAATGTTTAAGTTTTAGCTTTCCCTTATACCAATATCATAAAATAAAACCCTAAGGATTGTTTGACGGTCAAGGAGGCTTGCTCCCTTTCTTGAGTTCTTGGATTCAAATCTTGTGACCACTTATCACAATAACATTGTGACTTATATAATTCTTTGGGCTTGTAGGGTGTTTAATAAACTTCGGAGATTAGTTGAAGTATGCGGAAGCTGGCCTAAACACTTCGATTACCAAAAAATATATCATAAAATAAAATTGACAAGTGAGATTCTTCAACATTTTATTGTGTTGACATCCTAAGATCATGAACTAGACTAACAGAACATAAAAGCTTAAACATATTGCTGTGCTTAAGTGCCTCCTAATGTTCTAAATAGACATGAACAGGGAATGAAATTCCACTGTCGCCAATTGTAATGGTGTGTCCACCAGATGGTAACAGACTGTTAGCAGCATAGTCAACAATTCCTAAGCTCTTGCAAACGTTGAGATCAAATTTAACCTTCTCACTGCCTCCTTTTGCCACAAAAATCCTCTGAAAACCAATCACTTGCTTGTTATAACTTGCGGCAATTCCCTCCGGGGGCGTTGAGTAAACTATGACTACCTCGCTGCCATCTCTTTCTCCTAGATTTTGAACTTCAACTTCAAATGAAAATTGATCATCACATGTCAAGTCGTTGATCAGGACTCCAGGACATGGGGGCTTGCGGGCACTGTCTGTGTAATCTATGGAGCGGCAATGTTGGAACTTATTCAAATTTATGCGGATTGACCTTTGTGTGGATGTTAACTTGTAATTGAATTGGGTGTAACTGAGGCCATATCCAAATGGATACACTGTAGAGCCATTATAGAATTTATATGTTCGGCCTGGATAGCCTAAGCTGTCAATGGGCCTCAAAGGCATCGATGTCATTGGCAGCATATTCACATAGTCATTTTCAAACCATGTAAGAGGTAATCTTCCTCCTGGAAAGGGAGAAAGAAAGAAAAGAAAAAGATAAGACATATTTTATACATGTAAGTTTAAGAAATATAATAATAATGCTTACCAGGGTTGTAATTCCCAAAGACAACATCGGCAATGGCTTGACCACCTTCCTCTCCAGGATAACCAGCCCACAAGATGGATTTGATATTTGTATTGTCCTTAGCAAAGCTGATATCAACACCACCTGCTGACAATATAACAAGAATAACTGGACCCTTTGCAACTTGGGCAACCTGATTGATAAGTTGAGTTTGGTAACCAGGAAGTGTGAGATTCTCCCTATCCAAGCTCTCTGCCTCCACAGACAAATCTAAGCCAGCCAGTATTATGGTAGCATCAGCATACTTTGCAGCTTGCACGGCCGGGAATACGAAGGTTTCATTCCTGCAAATAACATCACCACATCCCATTTTGTAGTTGACCTTTCCATATGTTTTCAAGCCATCAATAGGAGATGTGAACTGACATGGAATGCCTATAACATGACAAAATTTTCAGAAATATTGCAGGTTAGTTAATTTTCAACACAGAATAACTATTTATAGAAGCACAATTAATTCTAGTCAATTTTGATTACCTGCATAATTTCCAATCATAGCTGATGTAGCATTGGCATGTGGCCCAACCACGGCTAGATTTTTTATCTTAGCAGAGTGCAAAGGAAGAGTGTCGTTATCATTTTTCAAAAGAACAACTCCCTCCCTCGCTGCTTCTGTGGCTAACTCAATGTTCTCTTTAGTGCACACATCATCCTTGCCAAGAGATTTATATTTGGAATTAGGGCTTCCATCAAAGAAGCCTAGCCTCATTAGCACAGTGTAGAGATACTTTAATGACTTATCAATATCTCCTTCCCTGACCTTCCCTTGTTTCACGGCATTTGCGGTGAAATTCGGGTAGAAAATGCCACAGTCCAAATCCAAACCTAAATCATATAAAACAATTATGTAGCTTAAACCATAAATCCATAAGAACATATAGCTCAGGTTATAACATAATTTATTTACCTGCTTTTAATGTTTGGGCAACAGCATCCTCATTTGTGTCACCAAGAAATTTGTGCTTATTCACCATTACATCAATTGAATCACAATCTGACACTATATATCTGAAAAGGGTTTCAATAGTATAATTTGGTTTGAGTAGTTTAATCTGATTAAAATGATCGTATTAACAATGAAATATTAATTCATAAATTTAAATTTTGTACCCATGAAGATCCCATTCTCCTCTAATGGTTTGATTCAAAAGTTTAGGATCAGCACAAGTTGGTATGCCATTAACACGGTTATAAGAGCACATAACACTGCTAACATCACCGTCTTTAACACACATTTCGAATGGTCGGAGGAACGTTTCCACCATATCTTGCTCATGCACCTTCAAAATTTTAAAAATTGTGAGAATAATAAATATTTCTGAACTTCTCTTAGCCAGATGTAACTTTTTTTTTTTTAATCATGTTACTTACCCTTGCATCAAAACTGGTGCGATCAATACCTAGCCAGTAGTCAACATCGTATGCAGCATAATGCTTACAGCATGAAGAGACTTTGAGAGGTCTAGAGTTCAAATCAGTATAATTTTCATGTCCCTCGACATCTTGAAGACCTCTAACATAGTTCACAGCATACCTGCCAACAACAAAAGGATCTTCACCTGGTGTTTCTATGGCTCTTCCCCATCTGGGATCTCTCACAACATTGATGTTCGGACTCCAATATGTCAGTCCAGCCCGCCCTAGATTGAACATGGCTCTAGCTTCCGTTGAAACAGCCTTCAATAATGAAATTATTAGTATATGTATAGTTTAAGTTAGGTAGAATACTAAATGTAAGTTTCATCTTATATACCTGACCAATCTTTTTCCACAATGACTCATTAAATGAAGCTGTTGTGCTAATGACAGTGGGGAAACTTGTTGAGCCAGGAACGACATCGTCAAAGAATGTACCGGGGCCAACATTGGAGACACCATGCAAAGCCTCAGACCACCACTCGTACTTGGGCAGGCCTAGCCTTGGCACACCATAAGCAAGATTGCCTAGCTGGTTTACCTTCTCAGAAAGTGTCATTTGATCCACCAAATCCTTCACTCTAACAGAGTAAGGGAGGGATGAATCACAGAAGGCAAAGTCTGACACTTCCATTCCAAGATCTTTATACCTTGAACGGTCGCATACATAGGTGAAATTACTTCCAGTTTTAGTAGAATAAACATGAGACATGTACGTTTTATCATCATCACTCTGGTGATGGTGATGGTGATGTTTATGATGAGATGATTTGGCGTTGGTATGGATAATAAATAAACCAATGCAGAGATAAAAAGATAGAAGTAAACAAAACAGTTTTGCCATAGCTTAGCTTAGAGTACGAAGCTTATGGAGGTTGATAAATACATCCGAATTTATAAGAGAATTATCGCTGTAAATGGCGACATTTGAAGATTTTGTTCTATCTAATTAGGTAATAAATCACGAAATTATTGGCATGAAATCATTATAGTTGCTAAGCGATAAGTAAAAATCACTCAATTTTCTCATATAGTTTATTTGTTTACCAGAAAGAAGAACCTTTAATCTTGTATTCTAGATCTAGATGAATTATAAACATTACAAGTTTTGGGTTCAACGCTTCAAACATCTGAGTTGAAAAATGGCTTTTGAAAACCTAGAATTATCTTAGGTTATCTATCTTACAAAATCCTTAATATTAAATAATCATAAATATATCGATTGATTTCATTTATGTTATTGGTGTAATATTGAATGACATCATATTTGATTATAAATGTTTTTCAATTTAATATTATCTTAAATAAGATTGGACTCGTTACTTAATATAATAGAATCACTCTATAATCATAATACTGGAATCAAACTAATTTTATTATAGATTATAACCTAATAGAAGTATAATTACAAAAATTATTGTTTTAACTAAATTATCTTTAGTGCAAACGGTATAGAGGTGAACTATACACTGCATCAATAATTAATTAATAAAATATGTCAAATTCTATGTATAAACATTGATAGAAGAGATAAACATAATTTCTTATATAAGGTATATACACAATTTCTTATATAGAATATCATTATATATAGATATATAAAGTTCTTATCTGAAATTTATACATGGATTTGGCAACGTCTCTTTTGATAATAAGAACAAAGAGACATGTGAATTAATAATAAGGATAAGACAAGAAAATAAATTTGCCAACCATGGATCAAACTCAACTTTAATTGTATGGATGTAATGTTAAAACAAAATCCATTAATTTTCTACATAATTAACTCTATACATTTGAGGGTAATCTTTATGGATATATGCTGCGCTAGGCAAAATATTATTTTCCTAGATGATTAACTCTATACATGTTACGGTAATCTTTATGGATTTGCCAAAATAATATTTTGCTAGATAATTAACTTCAAACATGTGAGGGTAATCTTTATTTCGTTTGTTAGTTACGCAAAATATTAATTTTCTACATATAATACATGTAAGTATAATCATTTTGGATTTTGTTCCCTTACCCAACATTTGATTAGTAATCTATCTGTCACATGGCAAATAAAAAATATTTTAAAATTTTAGAGTTAATATTTTATTTTTTGAAAATAGAAAACTATAAGTTTAAATTTAATTGGGTACAACTCACATTGACAAAATATCAGGTTTAATGTTAAAAGCATCAAGGTCAATGTTCTAAATTTCAAGTTTTCCATTACAAGTTTCAAGTATATTGTTCTAAATTTAAGTACTATGTATAGGTATTAAATTAATGTTAACAATTTCAAGTGTGATAGCTATTAAATCAATGTTAAAGGTTTCGAGTGTGAAGTCATAAGTTTCGAAAGAAATATTTTTATATCAAATCCTTTAATTTTCAAGTTATATGTTACTGGTTTTTCTTTTTATATTAGAGATTTCGTGAATAATATACTATTTTTCAAGTATTAATTATAGTTTTTAAATTCACATTAAAATATAGTATTGTCAATTTCAAACATTGCATCATTAGTATCAAGTCTCTCAAATTTCAAGTTTTATGCTATAAATTTCATCTACATTGTTTTTTGTTTAAAGTATTGTTTATAGATTTCAAATCTAAGTTGAGGGCTTTTCAGTGTGACTTTGTTAGTGTTAAATATAATGTTTAAGTACCAAGTCATTGTGGTTTCAAGTTTAATATTAATAGTTGTAAGTTTAATATTATGATTTTCAAGTTTTATTTATATGTTTTTTTTTTTTTTTTTCTTATGATTGAAGGTATCCGGGTCATTTTACGCATACCTCGACTAATCTCTCAAGACCTTAAAGTTAACAACCGAGTAAATCATTCGATTGTCACCCCTATTAGCAACCGAGGAAAATCAAACTTAAGATCTCTTAAATAATACATTCAAGAGTCTCTACCCTCCCATCTGACCATCTAGGGATAGTTAGTTTTATTTATATATTTCAAGTCTATTGTTATTGAAATCCCATGTTTCAAATATAATGTGTTTTATGTTATACCTATCATATTTCAATTAAATAAAAGCTGATAAATCATTTAGTAACATAGTGATTGAAAGTACAATATCTATTTCAAAATAACGTCTAACATGATCTATTATTTTAAGGAAATTAACAAATTAACCCTAAATAGCTGAAACTATTGCATACAAAATTCAGGGTTTTTTTTATTTTATATGTAATTTCCTAACCCAACCCAACAGGCTCAGACTTATTTAATCGAAATGAGAGAGGCCTAAAGTCAAATAAAATTCCCAAGAGAAGTTCAACAAAAGCTATCAGAAATCATGTGAGTCAAATTTATTAAGCTCTTAATTATCAATTAGAAACAAAATTCTTCCGCCATGATCGATCTTCATTTCTTCTAATAGAAAAGGTTGACATCAACAGGAGTTGCAACTCCAGCATCACCAACTAAAATGGTGTGCCTTCCCGATGTTAGAAGACGATTTGCAGCGTAATCCACGATTCCTAAGCTCTTGCAAACGTTAAACACAAATTTAACATTCACATTCTGTCCTCTAGTCACAAATACCCTCTGGAATCCGATCACTTGCTTCATATGAGTTCCCGGAATACCTTTCGGTGGCTTCGAGTAAACCAAAACTACCTCGCTGCCATCCATGTTACCAACATTTTGAACTCCCATTTCAACCTCAAAAGTTTCATTACATGGTAAGTCAGCTAATAGAACTGATGCGCATGGTGGCGGTTGGATACCACCCATGTAGTTTATCGGGCGACAATGGTGTAATCTATTCAATTTTATGCCGACTGACCTATTTGAAGGTGCTAGGTTGTATTTGAATTGGGTGTAGCTGAGACCGTATCCAAATGGATACACCACGGGGCCATTGAAGAACTTATATGTTCGACCTGGGAAGTTGCCGACAGGCCTTAATGGCATAGATGTCATTGGAATTTTATCGATATAATCAGCTTTGTACCATGTGATAGGTAATCGTCCACCTGAAAACAATCAGTATTTGCTAAAGAAAACTATTGTAAACACAAGTGAGATGGACTATTGAAATATTCACAGCCAAATTTACCAGGATTGTTTCTCCCAAAGACGGTATCTGCAATAGCACGACCACCTTCCTCTCCGGGAAAGCCAGCCCACAAGATAGATTTGATCTTTGGATTATTCTTTGCAAATGTGATATCGACACAGCCAGCTGACATGATTACAAGAATAACTGGACCTTGGGCAGCTTGAGTTACATCGTTGATAAGTTGAGTTTGGAAACCAGGAAGTAGGAGAGTTTCTCTATCCAAATCCTCAGCCTCAATAGTCAAATTCAAGCCAACCAAAATTACGGTGGCACTTGCAGATTTTGCGGTTTCTACGGCAGGAGGTATCAAGATATTCTCTTTACAAAAAACATCTTCGCACCCTATTGAGTAATTAACTTTTGTATACGAAGAGAAGCCATCCAAAGGAGTGGTGTACCGACATGGAATACCTATAACAATGCGAAGAAAATTTAAAAAAAAATATGTAGACAATAGTTTACATAAAATGTTGCAAGCAGGGGCGAAACCAAATGGCTGAATTTTGGTTTAATATATACCTGCGTAGTTTCCTCTCATGGGAGTTGTAGCATTGCCATGCGGTCCGACGACTGCTAACGTTTTGACATTAGCAGGGTTTAAAGGCAAAGTGTGATCGTCATTCTTCAAAAGAACAATTCCTTGTCTTGCTGCCTCTGCTGCTAATTCGATATTTTGAGGAGTGCACACATTTGCCTTTCCTAGAGATTTATATAAAAGGCTTCCGTCGAAGTAGCCTAGCCTCATTAACACAACATAGAGATATTTCAATGCCCTGTCTATGTCTGTCTCCCTAACCTTCCCTTGATTCGTTGCATTTATAAGAGCATTGGGGTAGGTTACACCACAATCCAAATCCAAACCTAAATCAACATGAAGTTTTTTAGATCTTAATCCATAAACGCTTACACTAGCAAGAATCCACTAAAGGAGTAAGGAGCAAAAAAAAAAAATTTATGGAGTTAACCTGCTTTTAGTGTTCGGGCAACACCGTCCTCACTTGTGTCATTAAGAAATTTGTGTTTATTCACAAATACCTCTATTGAATCACAATCTGCAACTATGTATCTGGAAAAGAATTAATAATAATTGAAGTCAAATGAACATCTTAGTAAATGGTTATTAATATATTGATAATCAGATAACATTAAAAGTATTTTACCCATGAAGATCCCATTCTCCTCTAATAGTTTGATTCAAAAGTTTAGGGTCAGCACAAGTAGGTACGCCGTTAACACGATTATAAGAACACATAACACTACTAGCATCACCTTCTCTAACACACATTTCAAACGGTGGAGTAAAGGTCTCTAGCATATCTTGCTCAGTCACCTTCAAAAATGGAAGAAATTATAAGAAAAAAAAGGGGGGTTATAATATATATAAAGCTTAACCAATAATTGATTTATTTAAGTTACCCTTGCATCAAAATGGAAACGATCAACTCCCCTCCATCTGTCAATATCATAGGCATTATAGTGCTTGCAACATGCAGAAACTTTAAGTGGTCTGGCATTCAAATCCTTATGGATTTCGTGTCCTTCAACATCCTGTAAACCTCTGACGAAGTTTACGGCATACCTACCAACAACAAAAGGATCTTCACCAGGTGTCTCTGTGATTCTTCCCCATCTAGGATCCCTTACTACATTAATGGTTGGACTCCAAAATGTTAATCCCGCTCGCTCCATATTGTACATGGCTCTTGCTTCTGTCGAAATAACCTATTGAATTGAAGAAGGTCGAAGTTAATTACTAACTAGTTTAATATCTTTCAAGGAAATGTTAACTTTCCATATCAATTTAATTACCTCTGCAATATTTTTCCATAATGACTCATTGAATGTAGCTACTGTGAGGATAATAGTGGGAAAATTTGTTGCACCAGGAACGACATTGTCGAAACGTACGCCGGGACCCGTATTGGAGACTCCATGTAATGCCTCAGACCACCACTCATACGGGGGGAGCCCCAACCTTTGTACCCCTGCAGCTTTATTTCCTAGCTGCTGCACCTTCTCAGCTAGTGTCATTTGATCCACCAAATCCTTCGCCCTTACTGGGTAGGGAAGCGATGAATCACAGAATGCAAAGCTTGTTATTTTCAATTGAAGTTGGGCAAACCTGGCAGGGTCACATACAAAGGTGAAGGCACTGCTACTTGGAGTAAAAAGAAAAGCAATTGTAAGACTGATACATAGAAGAAAACTCATGAAACGTTTGGTCATGCTTAATTTTGATTGGGAAAGAAGCCAGCAGATAACAATTTTCGACTGATATATAACAAACACATTAACAATTTAATTATTCGTTTGAGAAGAAGAAGAAAGTGTTTCTTTTTATAAGTACGTAAACTTCCAGCTTCTACTGATAACTCGGCACGCTTTCAGTTTTTTTAAGCCACTCGATTTTCTCATTTCCTTTTCACCACGAACATATATCTGAAACTACTTCTCTCTCAACATTACTAGCTATTATGAGAACTATAATTTAGTTTTAATAAATGAAGGAACCGGTAAACGCTAAGAAACCAACTAATTTCCACCGTTTATTTTCCCCTTTTCGGTATTCCTGTCAATGCATGAGAATGGGTGTTCACTGTTCAGTATGACCATCAAATGAAATCATTTTCAAAGCAAATTTGGGGCAATGTCTTTTTTTTTGTTTTTGTTTTTTTTTGACCTCTATAAAATGACAATTTTGTTAAAAAAAAAAAAAAAAGAAACGCTAAAAATCGAATAATCTTCATATTAAATCACTTCCTAGATCTTTAAACCCAATCCTACGCCTTATATAACTGTTTGTATGGAATTTTTTGATGTGATTCTATAATATTGAACAAGTATCATATAAGGAAGTTGAACATTGAGACCATTAAACCCAAAGGAGTTGGTCTAGTGTTCAAGTAAGTTTGTTCTTTTTATTGATTTTTTAAGTTCAAATGACATTGGAGTCACTTACCATATTTGTGTCTTATCTAGAATATTGAGTTTGTAGCGTGTTAAATAAACCGTAGTGTGTGCCTGATTATATATATATATTGGGACCATTATTAACGTGATACCCAATCCTTATCTTTATCTAGGAATTTTTATATTTAATTCCAACTAGACAATAAAATCTATAATTGATTGCAGTTCTTTTATCCTTTTCTGTGAAATCAACAATAGATTAACTTGATGAGACGGTTCTTCGGAGCTGTACATCCATAAAAAGGAATGTAAATCCCAATAGTTTCTATTAATTTATGAAATGATATATTGTTAAGCATGATATTATGTATTATGAATATATGAAATTATATTGTGTTAATCTTTTAGGAAAATTGATTTGCACCCTTTCTAAACCATATTTGATTTAGGATACATATAGTTAAATCTAAGCATTATCAAATTAAAATCGATACAATAATTAAACTTGTTGATGCTGTGATTTACACCAATGAGAAGTACGTAGGATCCGTGGTGGAATCTATATAGGAATTTGTATAAAACCCCTGATTTCAATGCTGAATCAATGGATGAATAGGAAATCAAACAATGACATCAGCAAAAGATTTTTAAAACGATTCTAATGCTAAGTGCAAATCTTATGTCTATTGTTCTTATATTGTTGTCTAGAGGTGGAAAAAATGGGCTGAGTTAGGCAAATCAACCCTAACCAGGCCCGCCTCAACCCGGACCGACCCGGCCAAGCTTAAGGGTGGGTCGGGTTGAACCCAACCCGGGGTATCCCCCGCCGGGCAAGCTGAGCCTTCATAGGCCAACCCGACGACCCGATGAATCATTTTTTTTTTTTTTTAAAATAAGTCGTCCAACCCGCCAGGTTGGCGGTTCTCAACCTACGGGTCAACCTAGTAGGTTGGTCGTTAGGCTGTGGCAACTGCCAACCCGGCGGGCTGGCGACAAAAATAATAGTAATTAAATTTTTTTTTGCAAAAACTCATTTTTTACCCTTCAAATATAGTCGTTTTGTAACAATTGGAGGAGTCTTTTTGGTATTTTCTTTTCCTATTTTTCTCTATAAATAGGGCCTAAAGTTCTCATATTTCCTCACATCCTAAATTCTCTCACTTTCTCTATAAAAATCTCTCAAATCTTTTTGTTGTCAATTTGCTCTCATTTTAATTTTTATTAGTTTTTGCAATTTTCAATTCATATTTCCAAATTCCAATTTTCCTTCTTTAATTCTTTTATATCCAATTTTTTTTTTTTTTTTAACTAGAATGGATAGATATTTCCATCCCACCATCAATTTCGATAATGAAGAAAATTATCTTAGTCCCTTTAAATTTACTAACATAAACGCAGTAGATTCAAACAATCTCATTTAGTCGTTTTCACATTCTTAGAATCTGATATACCTCATAATATTCCCTCCCCCCCTCCCCATGCTTCTACAGCTCTTAGTGGTTTTAGAGGTCGTTCTTGTAATCGTTGTCCTTGTCCAACTCCATCTGAAGTAGAAGCGGGTTCATCAAATGCAGCTACCAGAACCGACAACATGCACACATTAGATGTTTGGGTGCATTTTGAAAAGTTTTACGACACAGAAAATGAAGTTCAAGTGAAGAAAGCAAGATACAAGTATTGTGGAAATGTTTATAAAGTTGATGCAGGTAATGCTACTAATACTCTAAAAAGGCATGCTAGTAAACATATAAATCATCATGGAAATAAAGAAATTAATCAAACTCAAATAACTAGTATGAGTAATACTTGACGTTATAATTCTAATGTATATATGGAACAATTAGTTTTATATATTGTTGCAATTTATCAACCTATTAATATGGCTGAAGATAAATATTTTGAAAGATTTATTAAAAATTCATTTTTTCCAGAATTTGAAACTTATTCTAAAACTTCAACTAGAAATGATTTAATAAATTTGTTTAAGAAAATGAAATTAGAATTAAGAAATAAAATACATAGTTGTCATGTTAGTGTGACTCTAACCACCGATATTTAGAGTGGTAGCGCTAAACAAGATTACATTTGTGTAATTAGTCATTATTTTGATAATGAATGTAAATTAAACAAATCTTTATTGGGATTTAAATTAATGGATATAGATCATATTGGTCAACAAATTTATTATAAAATTGTTGAAGTCTTAGAAGAATATGATATTGTTTACAAAGTAATAAGTTTAATTTTAGATAATGCAAGTGCTAATAGTAAAGTTGTAGATTTTTATAAAACAAATTTTCCTTTTCATGACAATTTGAAGCTTTTTCACCAACGTTGTGCATGTCGCATTATTAATTTAATTGTAACAAGTGGTATAAAAAGAATTAGAAATAATATTGATAGAATTAGGGATTCTTTAGCTTGCATTACTAGTAGGAATAGAAGAAATTCTGAATTTAGAGATGCATGTAGAACTTCAAATTTGTCTCCTAGAACTTTTGCATTAGACATGCCTATTAGGTGGAATAGTACTTATTTAATACTTTATTCATGTTTACCTTATGCAAATTTAATTAGTTATTTTGTAGAAAATCATAGGGGTCCTCATTATTTGGTAGAGAGTGATTGTCATATAGCTAAAAAAAATCATTCTTTTCTTAAAACCTTTTATCTTGTTACATTAAAACTTTCTAGTGTGTATTATTTTACTAGTCCATTGGTGATACATACAACTTTAAAAATTTCAAATTTATTTGCTCGAAACAGAAACAATGAAATTTTAACGAGACCAATAGAAGCAATAGAATTTAAATTTTAAAAATGTTGGAAACTCATTCATTTTCTTTATTGTTTACTGCCATATTTGATCCTAGGATTAAATTAGTGAGTTTAGAAAATGTTTTAGAAACGTTAAGTGAAAATTTACAAGAAGAAACGAAAGCCAATCAACTAGGGGAGATAAGGAAGTGTCTTGGAGAGGTATATTTGCAATATGAAAGAAGGTATGTGAACCAGCAAAGAGGCGCAATGCCCGAGGAAGTAACATCAGAAGACACAAATGAAGATTTTGACTCCTGTAGTGCACTTCATAGGTTGAAGAAGACCTAAACCCGAAGCACAACCTCCTTTTCAAAAGAATCAACAATGAATATAATGTCCTCCATGCAGCTGCAAAGTAATGAGTTTCACCAATATTTGGGAACCCTTGACTTGCTACCAGCAAATCCACAAGAAAGAGCTAACTTTGATGTCCTAAAATATTGGAAAACCAAAAAATGTATTTTTCCGGTACTATCAAGACTTGCCCTGGATGTTTTCTATGTTTCTGTCTCAACTGTCTTATCCGAACAAACATTTAGTGCAAGTGAAAGAATTTTACCAAAAATGATTGAAGCCCTCACATGTCTTCAAAATTGGGAACGATTGCGCCATCAGGATCAATACAAGGTTGTCGACGATACTTTAATAGAATTATTTCAACTTTGTAATTTAGATGATACAGATGAGGGAGGTCCTAGTCAACCCTCAAATTAGTTGTTTTGTAAATTGTAACTTTGTAATTTGTAAATTAACTGTCAATTATTGCACTCTTTTTTCCTTTACCAAATTTTTGTCCCAATTGAGTTTTTCTTACTAAGTTTTTTAATGAGGCAATAATTATTATAATTTCTTATTTCTTATTTTATTTTTTGATAAATGAATAAATCTATTTTTTCTTATATTACAATTTAATTGCATTAAAATTGAATTAATATTTGAAATATTAACTAAAAAAAATTAATTTAATTGAATTGATATTTGAAAAGTTAACAAAAAAAATTACACAAAAGAAAAAAAATAAAAATACATTTTTTTGCCGGGTCGGCCTGCACAAAAGCTCCCGAGGTTAGGGTTGACGGGTCGGGCTGACTCTTTTGGACAAAGAGGGCAGGTCGAGTTAGGCCTGGCTCGCCATTTGCACCAACCCGCCACAAGTTGGGCTTTTTTCCACCTCTATTGTTGTTTGTGTTTTCTCTACACACACGTACATCTTACAAAGTATAAATAAAAAATCTCATCTGTAATTTGAGTAAAAAGTAAGCTTATATATTATTACACTAGCAAACTTATAAATAAAGTTAACCTAAAAGAACATAGAAGTTAATTTAAAAGAATGACACATGACGTGAATCCGTGTTTCAGGGATTTACCTCACAACATTTGCCCCCTAGTTAACTATTGATGTATGTCGGATCGATCCAGACACATGGTAGGTGGGTTTCCAAAGATATTGTCCACTTTGGGACCTGAGGCCAGCATAGTTTTGTCTTTAAAAA